AGAAACACACAGTTGTGAAGTGCTTAACACAGAACTTGGTTTGTACAAAGGATGAGCACTGTAGTGTTCAGACCTTGTAGGAATAAAACTGAACGACATGCTATCCCATTTGTAGGTACTTTTTCTAATTGGCATGGAATCCTAACAAAATTGAGTAAAGACTAAACATTTTAAAGTATTGCTAAAAACAGACAAGCAACTTTCAAGACATAGAAAAAAACCTGGCATATAGTAGGCATGTGTGGCATGTGGCATGCAGTAGGCACTACACAAACTGCTACCATTAGCAGGAAAATGCCAAGGGTAATAAGATATATGACTTTCTATGAATTACTGAGTTTGAAAGGTAATTAAATAATTATCACCTGACCAGTGATGTTTTAAGCATAAGAAGGCTAAGAGAAGTTGTTAGAACAAGTTTCTTTCTCTTTTCAATTTGAATAGTTACATTATAAATATATCTGTTATATGATTATTGGAGTATATTTTGGTTTTTTTTTAACTTAGAAAATAATAATAGTAAATGAGAGAGAAAAGCATGGTAAAATCCTCTTAGATCTTTGTCTGTGAAGGTTCCTTGGGATAAGCCCTATCGATAGGGTGTTGTGAAACTTAGCAGCAATGTTGTTTGAGGAACTGGGACTTCTCCCACCCAAAGTGCAGAAATGAAACTTCTGAATAGTAAAGTGGATGTCACTTGGGATCATTTGGAAACTCATGTAATTGTATCTTTTTGTTTCTTTTTCTTGTAGGCAATAGAATTAAGCAACTTGCCCAAGGTTACACAGCTAGTAAGTGTCAAGTATCTGAGGTCAAATTTGAACTCAGGTCCTCTTGACTCCAGGGCCAGTGCTCACTTAGCTGCCCATGTATCTTTTAATGCTATGACTCTGAACCAACTATTCATTGTGTATGAACTTGTGAAGAAGTAGGAAACAACAGTATGATGCTAAAAAGATGTCTTGGGTCTGGGTGTCTGAGATAGGTAAACCACTCCTCCCCAGGTATACCTTTTTAGTTCATAAGGTGGGTCATTGTGACATACAAAGGATAATAAATTTAATTAAGCAAGAGTGGATTACTCCAGACACCACAAGACAGCCACTTGTCCAACTTGGGTAGCTTTTAATCAGCTTGCCTTTCAAGTCTCATCCGCTGGTGGACATCTGCCAGCTCGCACCCATCCCAATTTGAGCAGTTACAGAAAAAAGATTATTATTGTGCCCAAGTCAGTCCTTAACCAAGGTTGACCTTGGTTCTAAAGCCACAGCTCCCTCTGCTACCATAGCTTTCACCATGGAAATTATGCCCAGATATGACCCATTTATCTACATGGACTCTGATGGGGGGTCTCATCTCATTATAATCTAGAAATGGTCTGATGTTCTCCCTTTGGCTTTATCTGAAGACCACAGGGGAGGGAGGCGGGGAGGATGATAAGGCAAAATAGATGAAATTTTGAATAGTTTAAAAATTCTAAATGAAATTTTGAGGCTAATATATGAAAAAAATTATTTAGCCCTAAGCTGTAATTAGCGAAATTTTGCTATTTGAGGAAGAGTCTCTTGGCACCTTAATTTGCTGCTATTTCTAAGTCTTGAATCCAGGTGTAAGTGTCTGACCCCTTATAAGGCTGCTGGTTCACCATTCAAGGGAAATGCCATGTGCCCCTGCAGTCTGAGGACTGCCAGAGGTGAATGTCTGTCTCAGAAAGTCAAAAGAAAGGCCTTGCTAAGGTGAAGGTAGGATTCTCTTGACCTATCCCATCTTGGTAAATAAGACATTTTCCTACCTCATTAATTCTGAACCTGGCTATGACATCCTGTCATGCAACTGACTGCCTATGACTCATACCTGAAATCAAACAGAACTAATGCCCCTATGTCCCTCCTCACATAGCAGATTCTACTGATAACAGTAAGTGTAAAAGAAGATGAACCCTATTGGTGACTTTTGATTAAGTAATATATGTTAGTGGGGGATCATTTTGAATTGTCATTTGAATCACAAATAATAAAGACCATGAAGTGTTACAATTGGTGGGTTATTTAGTTTACAAGACACCGCCCTATAAGTTTCTTTCCTCATGATAATATGATTAGTAGGAGATGTGACACAATTTTCAAAATTGGATTAAGAATTTTACACGTAAAAAATTATGTGAAACATTTAATAATATTAAGACAGACAGGGGCAGCTAGGTGGCGCAGTGGATAGAGCACCAGCCCTGAAGTCAGGAGGACCTGGGTTCAAATCCAACCTCACTAGCTGTGTGACTCTGGGCAAGTCACTTAACTCCAATTGCCTCACCGAGAGAGAGAGAGAGAGAGAGAGAGAGAGAGAGAGAGAGAGAGAGAGAGAGAGAGAGAGAGAGTCATTTTCCAGTTCAGGCCCTTACGATGCAACAACTGAAATTTTCTGAAGTTTCAGGTGAATTGTGTATTCTTAATCTAATGATTCCTCTTATAGCTCTATTTTATATTGAGTTTGCATTGTCTTGGCACTTGAGGAGCAAATCTGGTAGGAAGAAGCCCCTTCAAAGCTAACCTAAGAACATGGCTTGTTTTAGATATAGAAAATGAAATACCTTGAACTTTTTTCAGAATTTTTTAATTTTTCAATTCTTATTTGAATTTGCCAACCTAAAAATGTAAATGTGATGTTCATATTGGTCCTATTAAGGCTTGAGCTGGATCTCACTACCTGACCTACTTACTGTCATAGCAAACTAGAATTGTATTAAGATCTACTTTGTCAGAGATTTTTTCTTAACAGAAAAAGGGATCTCTACAAGCAACCTGAACTGCAGAAGCAAATACATCAGAAGCTGCTCTGAAGCCCCCCTGTCTCCAGTATTCCTAAGAGGAGAGATCTTCAGAGGACCATGAGATTGTATCAGAGCATGTTTCAGAGACTGGACAGCTGTGTGAGATGCAATGAGTAAGCATGACACCTTCATCATCATCATCATCATCATCATCCCCTCCACCAACAATTCCTAATCCATCTATTCCTGAGTCTGGGGTGTCTGGAACCTCAAGGTGTCTGGAACCTCAAATCCTCCTTTTCAGTCTCCTACTTTGGCTTTTGCTCCACCACTGTCAACAATGACTGACAATTCCTTTGTTTATAGTACTCAACCTATTCCTTATTTTTCTCCCCTTGCTAAGCTACAGCCCTCTAGATCTGTTTGTGTTGTCTGAAGGGATACTGCCTCTTATCACCATAATAGGGCAGCTCATTGTCAAAGTTGTTTGAATCGTTTTCACAAATTCAAGGGATTTCCAGAACCTCAGTGTAGGGCAGACAATGCTTGCACTGGCGCTCCTGAACAAATGTGCTGCAGTCCCCCAATTTTCAAATCTTGTAGGGCATGTTTTACTAAAAGGTACCTACATATCTCCTGTGCTTCTTGGTTAGTGAAAGAGTCACCTCAGACATCTAGTATGTTATGAGTTAATTTTATTCAAAAGGAACACATTCAGTATAAATTGTGCCCATTTCCCTCTTTACTAATGTCACCTTTGTGCCTCAGTGGGAGGACTGCCTTGCTACTGGTTTTGTATTGCCTATGATTCTATAGGGGTAGTGATTTTAAATTCTGTATGTTTGGCCCCAGAACTGTGAGCTGAAGATTATAAATTCACTTGCTCAATCATAGGAAGCTAACTAAAGGCCCTCCACCCTTGTTTTTTCTTATCACGGTGACCAAGCCCACTGTGGGGAGGTGACTCAATTACACGGAAAGTCCTCCAATTTATTTTTGTACCTCCAGACCATTCTCTCTTGTCCAACACTAGCAGGTGACCATCTTATGACAGATTAGTCAGTGGAGATGCCCCATGCTCCCCCCAATCTGTGCAAGAGCAAGGTTTATCAACCAATGAGATTCTGTATTTTACCATGCCTCTTTTGCATATTTGGGCATCAAACTCTACAAATATAAGATCCAGGAAGAAGGGGGCATCTCAGATCAGAAGGAAACTCTAGAGTCCACTTCATTAGAGGTGACCACGGACCCTTTAATAAAGTGGCATTGGCTCAGAGCTTTGCCTCAAGTCTCTTTTACTGTAGGTTCAACAATTTTAATCCCCCTCAGATAGAAAATCAGGTAGAGGTGTTAAGGTCATCCCTTTCCTGGCCTCTGGTTCTCCCTACCCTGAGAGGCCCCAGACTTCCCAAAATCTTACTGGGGGGTGAGAAGGAAGAAGGGAGCAGGCCCAAACTCATTACCAATCAGCCTTCCACTAACTCCTTCTCTCTTCAGTTCCTTGCTCTTCCCTGGCATCCCTCATCTCCCCTCAAAATAGTTGAATGGATTCATGATCTCATGGAAGTGGGCGCTCCCAACCAATGGTGCAGATTCCAACCTGTCCATGCCTTCTCATCCTATGCAACTCTTGCTCATGTTCTCTCATGAAAGGGGCACATAATTTGCTTGTATGGGCAACCAAAACTTGGCTCAAAAAGTCATCTCTTCCATGATGAACCCCACCCAAGTCCACTCAGATTCCCCTCAACATTTAGCTCAACCAAACTATATGAACTTGAACTCTCCTTATGTTTCCCTTTGTGGGTGTTTAGGCACCATTTATGATGTACATGTTTCTCTCCTATTGGACCATGCCTTATCCTGTCTGTGTTCCCCCACGGGGACTTGACGAAGGCTCCTGCACATAGGGAGGGCTTGATTTTTGAATGGCTGCAGTGGAAGTCAGGCGGCAGCTCCTTTCCCCACCAGGTAAACGGGAAGAGCTAAGTAAACCCAGAGCTGCCTGGAGAGATAAAGACAGAGTCTAGGCACTGGACCTAGGAGAGTTACAGGCACCATTACCCCAGTTCCTCTAGAAAGCATCAGGCTATACCCAGTCTACAGCTGCATCTGCCCAGTGGATGAATGAATGGGAGCTCTTGTTAATACAGAGGACCAATCTCCTTTGGAAACAACCCTAGAGCGCACATATATGTCACCTCCCCAGACTTGTGGAAGGAACACTTACCCTGGGCCAGGTAGAGGATAGCCCGGGCTACTTTCAGCCGTTGTTCCCTGTTAACCACCTCCAACCGGTCCAAGAGGCGCATTATGTAGGCTTTCTGTGAGGCCTCCTCCAGTTCCAGCCAACCCCTGCCTTGTACTGGGGAGAAAGAAGGCCCCATGCCCACTGTGAGTCAAAACTGGCCTACTCCCACATATCCCAACAGAATGTCTACTCTTCTCTCTCAGGCTTCCTCTAACTCTCAAACCTTACTCCTTCTAGCTGAGAAATGAAGAGGACCTGGGAACCAATGGACCATGGTGGTCCAAGGAGAGTGTCAATAGCTTTTCAAATTTGGGGAATTAAAAGACTTTTCAAGCAGTCAGTCATCTGGCTGCAGGAGACAACCCCTGAAGAGGGGGGAGGGAGAAGGCTAAGAACACACAGGTAGGAGAATCTCTAACTCAGGTGTCCTTTTGCTGGGGCCTATTTTACCATCTCTTCCAGAGCATCGAGGTTTCAGTTTTAATATATGATAACAAAGGCCCAGGCACCCAACCCAAGTATTCCCAATTTCTAGTCCACAGCCTCTCATTGCCAATTTAACTACTGGGGACTTCTAGGATTTGGGAGGAGGAAGATGGGGTTGTCATTCTCTCTGGCCCCTTGTTAGATTATACTGAGGTACCACCGGAGGAATGGAGGTCTGTGCCACAGAGGTCAGAGAACCGCTGCTCCCTGGCCTTTAGGAGGAAAGGTCTTTCAGCACAGGGGCCTGGGGGCACCTTGAGTCCTGAAATCCTCTTCAAAGCAGTGCCGGTTGACAGTGAATTCTGGGTTCTCAGTGTAGCTGTACAGTTCTGTGGTGGAGAACAGAGGGGACAGACAGAGTCACTGACCGTTTAGTAGTGGGGGAGCTGGGGCTTCCAACACATTCCTGTGCCCAGCCCTGCCCAGATCCAGCTTCCTCCCCTTCTGAGGAGAAAGTTAAAAATAACCAGCCAGGTCCCCAGGCAATTAGACAGTCAAATCTGCACTCCTCCAGCCAGCTGGCTACTGCAATAGATAGGGCAACCTAATTTGGGTTACAGAAAGAAGAGGAAAGAGAACAGCAAAGATTCAGCGTTAGAGCCGGGGAGGACCTTAGCTCAATTCCTTCACCTTACAGATGAGGAAACTAAGGCCAGAAAAGTGTTCATTCCACTTGCCAGTGGCAGAACCCAGGTCTCTCGGCTCCTGATACAGTGTCCTTTCACTTAGACCACCTGGCCTTCCCCATCATTCCACTATCTTAGGGCTTAAGTTTCTTGTGGTTTGTTGATTTTGACTGAAGTCAATCCCATCTCTACAGATTCTGAAACCCATATCACTTCCCAAAATACAGAGCTGAGACCCTAGTGCTGTTTAGCACTCTTTCTCACACACACACACACACACACACACACACACACATGCTCATAGAGAAATAAAGTATTGACCACCAAAACGAGGATTTCAAAATGATTTTTAAATTTTTTAAATTTCAAAGAGACAAATTTTTTTTTAAATTTAAAAGAGATAAAGAGAACAAAACAGACATTGAAAGATGCTGAGACACTGAGGGAGAGAGAGAGCAGAGACACTGAAGTTATGACAGGGAGAGACCACGGATGCTTCCTTTTGGAGAGCTGTCTGTAAGGGAACTCAGAACCTCTTTCTACCATCTCCTAGGCAGGCAAGCCAGCCTAGCTGAGGCTGCAAGGTGACCAGAGGGAGAGAAAAAAGGCAGCATACGTCTTTGACATACAGCAAATCACACCATTGCCACTCCCTTGATCAATCTGTCTGGTTAAAGGTAGACAGTTCTATAAGGTTAGGGCCCAGTTGGCCCCTCCTCTGAGGTATAGTGGACCGCCTAACAGATAGACAGAGACAATGCCACATCATCTGGGCAGCAGCCCTCTTTGTAAATTCAAATCCCACGTTCAAATCTCACCACAGACACTTATTAGCTATGTGACCCTGGGCAAGTCATTTAAGGAAACTGAGACTCCAATAGGTTATTTATAAGATAAGAGTCATAATAATGTCTACCTCACAGGATTGTTGTGAGGATAAAATATGCAAATATGTGCCCTTTGCAATCCTTAAGTCACTACATAATTATTTCTATATAAATTACTTAAATATTTATATATGAGTTATTTGTATTTAAATAATAATTATTATTACTTAAGCCAAAGAATAGTAATTCCATGGGGCAGCTAGGTAGTGCAGTGGATAGAACACTGGTCTTAGAGTCAGGAAGATCCAAGTTCAAATCTGGCCTTAAACACTTACTAATTGTGTGACCCTGGGCAAGTCACTTAACCCTTATTTGCCTCATCTGTAAATGAGCAGAAGGAAATGGCAAAACACTACAGTATCTCTGCCAAGAAAATCCCGTGGACTGTGGGGTCATATAGAGTTGGACATGACTGAACAACAACAAAGTTAATTCCATATCATCAGCACTGAATGAAATCCAGGAAGGGAGATGTCCTAGAGGTCAGGAAGGGACTTAGAAATAAATACCAAGAACAAAATACGCAAGACTTGTGGATCCAGGTTTCTTGACCTCAGCTAGGCTCCCAGCTGGATTCACGAAGCAAGAGAAAAGCCCATGAAATTTAGCCAGAGTTCTATTGCGTCAGTCAAATGAATTCAACTTCAGCCTGGGAGTCAGGGTTCCGACTATAGGTTTGAGAGTCCTGGAATGGTGAAAGACACACATATTCTTTCTTTCCCTCCCTCACTAGCTCACAAACCCTGCCCTTTAAGAGGATTTAGAGATGGAAGGACTAGAGATCACCTCTATCTAATGCCCTCCTTATATAGATTAGAAAATTCAAGTCTATACTAGCTGTGTGACCCTGGGCAACCCTGAAGGAAGGCAGGAAGGAAGGAAGGAAGGAAGGCAGGCAGGAAGAAAAGAAGGAAGGAAGGAAGGAAGGAAGGAAGGAAGGAAGGAAGGAAGGAAGGAAGGAAGGAAGGAAGGAGGAAGGAAGGAAGGAAGGAAGGAAGGAAGGAGGGAGGGAGGGAGGGAAGGAGGGAGGGAGGGAGGGAAGAAAAAAAGAAAAGAAAAAAGAAAAGAAAGAAAAAGAAAGAAAGAAAGAAAGAAAGAAAGAAAGAAAGAAAGAAAGAAAGAAAGAAAGAAAGAAAGAAAGAAAGAAAGAAAGAAAGAAAGAAAAAGGAAAAAAAATTCAGGTCTAGAAATGGACAGGGACTTGGGCAAGATCACACAGCTATTAAGTGGCAGAGCCCAAGTTTGAACTCAGTCTTACTCTCTCTTTCTCGGAGTCTTAGTTTACCTAGCTGTCAGACAGAGGTAACTCCTACATTGTCACAATGACAAGATAAAAGAGTGTAGTACCTAGGAAATAAAGCAGAAATGAGAACGAGGTCCCTCAAGGTGTGGGGGGACAGGGCGGGGGCAAGAGGCAGGATAGAGCTGACTTTGTTCTCCCTCTCCCTGTCATTCATCAAGGCATTTTCCTCTGCACTTATTCCTAAGAACTTCTCTAAAGATGTGTCTCTTCTGAAAGAAACGTGCCTCCAAGTATCATTTCCATGTGACAGAAAATTTAATTTTCACCTCATCTTTTTCCCAGGCACGAAGGGAGCTGCTTATTAATAACTGGCATTCATACCTCACTGAACACTGAGGTCTTTAAATACTGAAGGGAGCACACTCAGTCTGAGCCAAAAAACAAACAACAGAGAGAACCAGCCCAGCTCTGACAGATGAGTGGGATTTGCTCAGCTACAGCTTAGGAATATCCTAGGATGGGGGTGTGGCATGGGGGGGACGGGTAGTATACATGCACAGGCCACTGTCTTTGACAATCCAGGCTGCTTTGCCTGGATCCTGCAGGTTCATATTGCATGCTTTATTTTCTTTAAATATCACAGCACATGATTTGGGGTAAAGGATTTCAGGGGAACAGACAATATATGAGAAATGATGTCTATATACTGTCTACAGCCCCAGACACTTCTGAGAGGTTAATAATGGGGGAGAGGGGGCAGAGATAAAAAAGAGGAAGAGGGAAAAAAAGAAGAGGGAGAGGGAAAAAAGGAGAGAGAAGGAAGGAAAGGAGAAGGAGAAGGAAGGAAAGGAGAGGCAGAAGGAAGGAAAGGCAAAGGAGAGGAAAGAAAAGGAGGGAGAGAGAAAGGAAAGACTGGAGAGAAGAAAGAAAGGAGGGAGAGAAAGAAAGGAGGGAGAGGGGAAGGAAAGAAGGGAGAAAGCAAAAAAAGGAGGGAGAAAGGAGAGAAAGAGGGAGGAAGGAAAGTAGAAAGAGAGGAAGGGAGAGAGAGGAAGGAAAAGTGAAAGGGAAAGGGAAAGGAAGGAGAGGAGAGGGAAAGAAAGGGAAAAAGGTGAAGGAGATAGAGAAACAAAGGAAGGAAGAGAAAAAAGGACAGGAAGAAAAGAAGAAAACAGTGGGAGAAAGAGCTCAACCAGAGGCAAAGGAGAGCCCGGGAAGAAGCCTAGCAGAGCCCGCTGCTCTTCCCTCAGGCAGCCATTACTCTTGGGGCCATGCCTGTGCACAGGCTGTGCCCCATGCTGAGAATGCTTTCTCTTACTCCCACCTTGGAGAAATCTTAGCTTCCTTCAAGACTCACCTCAAGTGCCACTTTCTGCATTAGGACTTTTCTGATGTTCCTAAACCCAGCTGTGAGTGTGTCCTCTAAGAAATTATTTTATATTTACTTATCTTCCCCCTCGCCTTCCCCCACTCCATGTAAGCTCTTTTGGGGAAGGAACTATCTTTTTGTCTTTGTATCCCCAATGCCTACACATAGTAGGTGCTTTTAAAATGCTTTCTGAATGTATGAAATTAGGTAGTTAATAAATATTTGAGGAAGGGAAGAAGCTATAGGAGCAGTGAAAAGAACAAGCAAGCAGATCTAGAGGAAAGGCAGAGGAGAGAGTGCTTCTTTCAGGTAACAAACATCACATTTACTGAGTGCACAGAGGACTGGACTGAGACTCTGAGATCACAGGCCCCCAGTGGGGGAAGGTGAACCATAGAACCTCCCCCCCCCATCTCTCCCCAGCGCCATTGGACCTGTACCTGACAGCTCGGCCCCATGTTCATCAGCGTCCCCGTACTCGAACTCCAGGTTGGGGCAGTCCACAGAGCCCTGAAATGGAAAAGCCTTGGCTGTAACAAAGGTCACTTGGCTTCCATGTCCCTCATTCCCTTGCCCAGCTCCTAAGCTCTTAGCAGCCCAGGGCCAAAGAGGATTACATCTGGTCCTCCCACCTGAGAGGAGGCCTGTTCAGACATTCACTCACCCTCACCAAGCAACCTGAAGTTGGAGAGAAGAAGTCTATGGCTAGTCTAAAAGACTGGTTGTACAAAAAGGGAAACCAAGGGCATGGGAAAAGAGAAGCAGAAAGAGGAGCTGATGTGGAAAATTATAGCCTATGTCCTTATATCTATTCCAACTTGCAACCAAAACAAGGAGAGAAAGAGTTGATCTGTAGGAAAATAAATAGGAATTTATAAAATCATTGACTCCACATTTTCATTGATATAGGGAACTGAGATGAGGAAACTCCCTCTAAAAATGCTGGTTAGCACAGGCTTAGAAAGTAGCCTAGAGCACTGAAAGGTTAAGAGAAGATGGGGCAGGAGAAGGGAATAGATATTTATTAAGCACCTGCTACACTAGGCTAAGTGCTTTATAAATACGTCTTTTGATCCTTGCAATTCTTTAAAGTAGGTGCTATTGTTATCCCCATTTTACAGTTGAGGAGACTGAAGAAAAACAGGGTTAAGCGACTTGCCTAGGGTCACACAGTAAGCATCTGAAGCTGAATTTGAACTCCGCTTCCTGACTCCAGGCCCCAGCGCTCTATCTATTCCCTGAACCACCTATTTTGCTTCTGCAAAGGCAGCCTAAGTGAACAATCTCCCTATGTTTAAAAAAATAAAATAAAAAAAGGGTTTCCAAAGAAGCCATCCTGGCAAGTCAGAAAGCCTTGATTCTAAGTCTTGATTCTGCCAAAACACTCAGAGAGACCTTGGGCAAGTCCTTCTCCCTTCCAGGCTTCAATGCCCTGATTTATAAAATGAGGGGGCTGAACTGAATGATTCCTTCCGGCTCCAACAATTCATGATTCTGTTGAATGCATGTTTGTAGTAAAGCTGATCATAAAGAGAAAAATATTTTTACAAAGTGATTAAATTCCACATTCCAACAGATTTTTCTTATCAATGTGGATGCTCCTTCCAACAATGATGTCAAACCATCCATGCGTGCCCATCCTGTAAACAGATTATCAAAGGTCCTTGAGCTCTCAAGTCCATATTCCTATAAACTCATTATACCATTAGACAGGGAGGAGAGAAACAGTCAAATTATGTCCCTGTATAAGCAATGTCTCATCACATCATTGTGGGTATGGATACGAGAGACGGTCAAATTACATCCTTTTGCATACAGTGATGCAAGACTCCCTCAATTACATTCAATAAACATTTATTAAGCACCTACTATGTGCCAGGCACTGGGGATACAAATAAGAAAAAGATAATCTCTGCCCTCATGGAGCTTACAGTCTAGTAGAGAAAGACAAATTGGGTGAGGGGGGCGGGGCAGAGAGTACATGCTGAAGAGGCATCATATTCTATGGAATCCAAACCAAGCAGAGTTGCTAATGAGTGTGAATATCTCAGGATGCTTCTGGAGGTCTTAATGAGGTAAAGCTACTCATATTTTGTCCCAATGTACTTAGCAGTCTAAAAGACTACCTTTTCCTTTCAGATATAGGGTTAGCCTTCTCCCTCTGCCTACAGTGATCATCCATGGAGGGGCTCTAGGACCCAAAGAGAAACCTCTCTCTCCTAGGGGCTGTTCACTCCCAGCACACCAGGAAGGGCAAGGAGAGATCTGAAGGTGAACACACTGGTGATGGGGACACATTGATAGGGAAAGGCAGCTTCTCTGCCTTGCAGAGAAAGTGGGGGAGAGCTAATTTTTTAGGACAGCATGTTGGCAGGAAATGAACATTGAAATGATCCCGTTGGCAAAGTGTTTCAGAGCAAGGAGAACAGAAATGAAAAAAAAATTAAGATGCAGCCCCAGGCAGACATGGGGTAAGCTGCTCTTTCTCTGCAGGTAGGAGGAAGGGATCCTGCAGAAACCATACTGGTTGGTCAAAGCAAAGCTAATAGGGCCCCTTGCTGAAGAGGCCTGGAGAGTCCCAGACTCCTGGGCTCTAACCTGAAGCTTTCCTAGGAGCATGCTACCAGCTTGATCGTGAGCAAGTGTTTTTCCCTCTCTGTTCTTTAGTTCCTATTCCCCTACTCCCATAGCCACAAAGAGGAGGGGCATTCCTTGGCCCAAGGTTTACCATCTGCTCACGAGGAGCCCTTGGGTCTACCTAGAAAAAGAATTTACCGTATAGGCTTTTCTAAATGGCCATTTTTAGTGGGAAGGGACCACAGCCATTCAGGACCAGATAAGATCCATTTACCTCTGGGGAAAGGAAGCTTGGTCTTTCTTTAGGACCAGGGCTGAAGAAACAGTGAATTCAACTTCCCGGTCCCACCCTATTCCCTCCGCCCAGCCAGTTCACCATTTCACAGAGAATTTTGTTTGAGGAGTGGTGAAAAAACCTGGTCAGCAACTACTCTACCAGATACCCTTAAAGTGCAAGACAGAATGGAGTAGAAACCCCTGTAAAGACCTTCAGGGGCTAGTCAATTGTTAGTTCATTCATTCAACAAATGCCAACTGAATGCTTTTCTGTGTAAGGCACATAAAAGTCTGTAGAATCAGAATTTTAGAACTGGTAGGGACCAGATGATCTAGCCGAACACTTCATTTTACAGTTGAGGAAATAGGATGAGGATTTGCCCAAGGTCACAAAGGGAAGAAGTAGCAGACCTGGGCCTTAAACCCAGGTCTTCTGCCTCTTCCCTTTCTACCATACCAAGTGGCACTGAGAAGAAAACTAAAAAACAGGGGAACAGCCAACAAGGAGAAGGGTCAGGCAAGGCACCCCAGTCCATCCTTTCTCAGGTTCCTCTCTGGTGACACAAAGGGTCGCAGCTGTAATCCCTTAGAGAGGAGTACAGGAGCAAATGTAAACCTCTTGGCTGCATTCATGCAGTCTACATTAACCCTGCAGATCTTACCAGCCGCCCAGGGGCTGAACGTAATATTGGCTGGGTCATGAGGAGCAGAAGGAAGACTGAGGCCCCATTCCTGGAAGCCCGGGACTTCATCAGTCCGAGGGTCAAGTGGCCTGGGTTAGACACCCAGCTTAACCAACTGTACTGGACTTGGATTCCAAACCGGAATCAGAGAACTTACATTCAGAGTCCTAGCTCTGTTTCCTACTCCAGTGTGACTGTGGACAAGTCACTTAACCTCCCTGGGCCTTGGTTTCTTGGTCTGTAAAATGAGAGGTTCACACTACTTCCAACGTGTCTTCATCCAGCTTTAGATCTTTTGGATTTCACTACCTACGGGGGAGGAGTCAGGGGTCCGGGGCACGGGGTGGGGAAGGGAGGGTGATGGCCTCTCCTGTGCCCTGCGCGGCGCCTCCAGGGCTCATTCTAACTTAGGGGCGGATCTCCGCCCGCCCCTCGCTGCAGTACCCCCCGATCTCTTCCCTTCCCCAGCACAGGACACTGCCCACCTCAGACTCCCTCCGCTGGTTCTTGAACATTTCCCGGCCCTTGGGCGACGCCTGCTTTCCCTTGCTGCCTCCTCCTCCTCCGCTGCTGCTACCGTTCCCAGGTGGGCTGCCCGCCCCGGGCCCGACGCCGTTGGGGTCCTCCATGCAGCTCCCCGCGACTGCTCAGCCAGCTCTGCCAGGCGCTACCAGAGCAGCAGCACGCCCTGGGGAACCTTCCTCCCGACACACATACCCTGGGACACCCCCCCGGCTCCGCCCTCCTTCTCTATTGGCCAAGGCAACCTAATGGCAGCTCCACCCCTAGGTAGGATTGGCTGTCTGGATGTTCGGGGCGGAGGTTGGGGCTCATTCAGTTTTTTGAGATGTTCAGCCCGGGGCTAGGGTACTTCTGCTCCTTAGAGTACCACCCGACCTCTAGGCCTCGGCTCCCCTTCCCGGATTTCAGACTCAATTTTCCTAAACTCTAAATGGGAGGAATTGTAAGCTGCCATTTCCCTCCCCCACCCCAGCTGTAAATGATCTTTTCAAGTAAGCATCTTTCAGTGATTGCGCCCAGGTAATCTTCCTCCCCTACACTTCACTGCGAAGAAGGACCTGAGGGAACATCTATTACAATCTCTTTTACAGATGAATAAATTGGGGTTCTGGGATGGGAAGCCCAAGGTCACACAGCTAATTAGCTTCCAAGCCACCTTTCCCCCCTCTCACCAATGTACTTGATCTCTGGAAAGAACTGAGCCTGTTTAGCCTGCAGAAAAGAAGTCTCGGTGGGTCAGCAGAGCTCTGTTCAAGTAAAGGACACATGTGGAAGAAGGACTGGTGCAGTTTTGTGTTGCCCCAAAGTGCCCGACCAGGAGCAATAAGAGGAAACTGCAAAAAGGCAAACGTCAGGAAAATCTTCCTAACAATGAAAGCTGTCTAAAAGAAGGATAGTTTGTCTCAAGGGGTGGTGGGTTCCCCTTCTTTGGAAGTCTTCCAGCAGAGGCTGAATGAGTGCTTGTCAGGTACGTGACAGTGGAGATTCCTTCATTTATGGGTTTCACCAGATGGCCACTGAGGTCCTTTCCAATTTTCAAATTCCACAATACAATCCGGCATAGGACAGCTATTTATTTCTACCACAAAAGAAATGCTTGAAGCCCAGAAGACCCCTAAGTGCATACTAGCAAATATTTAAAGCAAGATACAATAATTCATCACTCCTATTATATTCTCCCAGGAGGATGATACTTAAAATATTAAAACATGAAACATTTTGTAGGACTGCTGAACAGACATTTTCACCTTGGATCTTCACTGACTTAAGGTTATATCCTCTGGCAGGTTGGGGCGTAGCTTTTGTTCATCTTCCTGGCTGTGATCATTTTTTTCTCCTCCAACATGTTATTGCTGAGATCACCTGCTGAGCAACTAGCATGTGGATCCAGGAGCTCCCAACCTCTGAAACTCCTCATGAGCTTCTTGACAAGGCTAGAAACATCAACTCCTCAGGATTGCTCTCCAGTCACCTGTGATCTAGGAAAGAAACACAAAGCAGAAGAGGCAGCCAGAGGCTCACCTAGATAAGCACATGTACTTACTGCTGTGTTTTTTTAAGAGAAAGAAATCCCATTCTCAAGTTGATGGAAGTAATAAAGCTTAAAGAGTTTTGACATGCTTGGGAGACAGGAAGAGAGAGAAATAGCGGAAATTTTCTCTTACTTGGAAGTCTAGTGAGTAGTTCTTCCTGTTCAGTGACCAATGCTCTTTGCCCCTTCCCTTCAAACTCCGTCATGGGGACCAAAGTCCCAACCAGGAACCTCTGTTTGAAAATGCCCTTCTGCAAGAGACCAGGGCACATCTTATCTGAAATGACCCAATCATGGGGCTCAGTTCTATGGGAAGTACTCCTGCCAGAGTGGATCAGGGCAGGGCTCCCCTGATTACCTCTATTATAGATACATTTTGCTTTGATACAAAAAAAAGATATCCAACCAACATTCAAACAACCCTCTTTCTCCACAGTACATTTCCTGAAAATCATTAAACAGAACTTCCTGAGAGATTATACTAATTACTAAGCCTAACTTTGCACCTTTGTAGTTTATTGATTATTAACAGAAGGATAATTTAATTTTTAATATTTTAGTACCAACAGTGTCACTTAAAAGAAAGTGGGATCTTTCAAAGGGAGTTTTGTTTGCTTTTCATGTTGTCTTTACATATTCTGTAGTACTTGCATATATATATGTACACACTATATATATTTATATATCATTCTATTGTCTTCATTTTGCCTCATTGCATACAAGTTTTCCCATGTTTCTTTGAAATCTCTAGATTCATTGTTCCTTCCAGAACAATAATATTGTATATTTGAATTTATACAGTTGTTCCCAGGCCAAAACACTGGGAATGTATTTTGTTTTCAGATTGTTATTATTAGAAATAATGCAGCTATGAATATTTTAATATTTGGGTGTTTTTCTTGCTTTATTAACATCTTTGGTGTATAAACATAATACTGGGATCTCTAGATCAGAGTATAAGCAATTGCAGTGAATTAGCAAGCCTATCTTCCCATAGCTCCTTTAGGGCTAAGTTCAATATGTGATCAACCTATTGAACCTACCCAACACCAAGAGCTACTCAATCTTGCCTAGATAGTGAATTTCCTTGAACTAAGCAAATTTAAGCAGAAGTTGTAAAGGAATTCTTGTAGAAAGAGGGTTGAGGGTTGAGCTATGAGATATTTAAGGTACCTTCCAATGCAGAGATTCTGATTCTAATTCATAAATCACATAGATCAAAGGAAGTGAGTGAGCGGTGATTTTCAAAGGAGGGGTGGTCATGCCATTTTGCTTTGGGTAATTGTATCTCTTAGAACTTAAAAAAAATAGACAAGAAACTAACACCTCCTCCTCCCCCAGAATCCTTCTCTGCCAATCCCTCCCACAAGTAGTATGGTAAATAATGAAAGAATGAAAAAAAAATTTATCAATATTTAGCATAGGCACTGTGCTAAAAAATCTCCTGAAATATAAATGCCAAAGGAGTAATAGTCCCTGCTTTAAAGGAGTTTACATTCTAACGGGGAAAATAATACATATAGGGGAATGGTGGACAAGGGAAAAAAGTTTTGGTTTTGGTCTGGATGGTCGATTATAGGGCAATATTGATTCATTACTGTACCCAAGAAGAAGAGGTGGAAAGTGAGGTAGGGGAAATGTAGAAGAGGATGTGTGTGTGGTGTGTGTGTGTATGATGTATGTGTGTATATATATATATTATATATATAACATGTAGTATGTATACATATATGTACATATGTATCGATGTGGCCTGGGGGGATAGCTGGATTGGATGTGGAAGTAAAAGCCTAGGACCCAACCCAATGTCTTTCTATGGGCCATGCCGTTGGAACAACAGTGACTCTTTCCCTCCTTCCCTCTCTTCCTTCCTCCTTTTTCCTCCAGAACAATGAAAGAATATAGATATAAGGGGGAGAGTGCTATCAAAGAACAGATAAGAGTTACCATCCCTGGGACACAACTATGTTCCCTTTCCCTGCTCCTTCTTTCCTTTCCCCCTTTTCCTTTTTTTCCCTCCCTCTCTTTTCTCTCCACACACCTTTCACAGACTAGGCTATGATTTCTAAGGAAGCACCAGGCTCAAGGCCAAAGCTTTGATTTTTGTCTTTTTTTTTTGTTAAATAAGTCAGATTCCAAGAGCCAAACTTTGCTTTACAATTCATTGTGAGGGAAAAAAGGGAGGGTGTTGAGGGACAGGACACAACCCACGCCTCACCCCACTCAATGTGAAAAACCTGCCACAGCACAACCCACGAGTGCCTCTTATTAAAGAACTAATTATTCTGCTTTCCTTCCCCCTCCCCCCATTTCTTCTGTTCTCCTGGGGCAAGAATGCTAGTGAGGATCGACAACTCCCAGAACTCCATTTTCTTCTTTACCTGATGAACTAATCAGCAGTGGGACAGAGATAGCAGAGTGAAATGGTCAATTCTAGTAACCTCTTTTCCTGCTTGCTCTAAGTGTCCTATTTCATAAATAGAAAGCACACCTAGTCTTCCTAGTGGAAAGAACACTGGACTTGGACGTTGGAAAGCCTGGGTTCTAGTCCCAGCTCTTCCACTAACTCACTGTGTGCAGTTACACAAGTTACTTTGCATCCCTACTACAGAGGAAAAGAGCTTTAGGGAACCTGGGTTCTAATCCCACCTTTGCTTACCTTGGACAAGTCACAGCCTCAATTGGGAAACATACGTTACTTTGTTTGTCCAGTGAGATTACACTAGATGACCTCAGCAGTCCCTTCTAGCTCTCGACACCAGAAAGCATCTCATGGCCTGTTTCTTCATTTGCTTATTTCTGTTTGGTTGTTGCAATAATGCCTTACTCTTTGTGACTCTATTTCTTGGCCAAGATACTGCAGCGGTTTGCCATTCCCTTCTCCAGCTCATTTTGCAGATGAAGAAACTGAGGCAAACAGGGTTAAGTGACTTGCCTAGGGTCACATGGCTAGTAAGTGTCTGAGGCCAGATTTGAACTCAGAACGATGAGCTTTCCTGACTCCAGGCCTGGTGGTCTATCCACTGGGCCACCTAGCTGCCCCTTTTCATTTGCTAAAGATGGACAACTGTACTTCCTAGGCCAACCCTCCTCATTTTTACAGTGGAGGAAACAGAATTAGGACTTGCCAAAGAACTTCATAAACATCAGAGTACCTAGGTACAAGGGCGGGGGGGGGGAGCTGGGGGAGCCCCAAATTATTGTAATGAAAACTGCTTTACAAAGTTCTTTAGAAACTAAGTTTTTCCATAAAGGTAGGTAAGAGCTCAGATTATGGGGCTTGGCCCTCAAATGCATGCCCATCTGCTCTTACTTATTACAGACCCAAGAGGCATGGTATTTATTATGCCAGGGAGGAGGAAGGAGAAAGGAAAGCTGGCCAGGACACAGCCTGGGGCTGGGAGAAGGGAAGAGAAGGCTAATTTGGGAAGCACTAATCTCCTGGCAGGCAGAACATTGACCACAAACTCTAGTTGTAGGGTGTTGGCTCAGTGTCAACATTTTTTTATTTTGCCAACAAAGGAGGTTCTGACACCAAGACATATCCGTGACCACAGCGGTGCCGCATATACATCTGGGGATTGAGCACATTCTCTGTCCAGCATCTGACTAATCTACTTTGCCAATCACATGCAACATTTTAGATGGATATTCCTACTAGATCAGGTCCTATAGCACAGGCATGAAGTCTTCATTATCAATGTACTCTAATGACCTTTACTACGAGCCTGCAGGTGCTTTCTAAATTACGTGGACATTTTTTAAAAATGTAGTATTTTCTTCTTCCCCAATCACATGTAAAAATTTTTAACATTCATTTTTTGAGTTCTAAATTCTCTCCTTTCCTCCCCCACACCATCGAGAAGGCAAGCAATGTGATATAGGTTGTACATGTCATGTAAAACATATTTCCATATTAATCATGTTGTAAAAGAAAACACTCTTCCCCCCAAAAAACCCCCCAAACTCAAGATGAATAAAGTAAAAGAAGTATGCTTCAATCTGTATTCAGTTGTTTGTCTGGGGACGAATACCATTTTCCATCATAAGCCCTTCAGAGATGTCTTGGATGATTATATTGCTAAGAATCGCAAAGCCATTCATAGCTGATCATCTTACAGTATTGCTATTACTTTGTACACAGTACATTTCACTTACATGGACATTTTCAAGACTGCTAGCCAGAGGTTAGGGTGTACAGTTGCTATAGTTCTGGAGGTTAGACATGGCTTTACTCAGTCTCATAAGTACTTTCGATTTAACTAGCTGAGATAATTGGCTCAGAGGTGGTTGGATTGGCATTTATAAAAGCTGCTTAAGGATAAAGCACAGAAGGTGCTGGAGTGACAGTTGTTAGAAATCAGAGATCCTGACTCCCAATCCCTATTGCCTACAGGATTTTCAATTTTTTCAGGGATGGACCCTGCTTCTAAGGTGAAGAAACATTTAGCCTGGAACAAAAAGTCTTGATTCAGGGAATCACCAAGGTGGTTAAGGATCCCAGTGGCCATCAAGTGCAAACCCTATGTGAATAAGAATTCAATCCACAATATTTCTAACTAACAGCCAACTAGTCTTTGCCTGAATACTTCCAGTGAGGGCAACTGTCATATTTCCATAAGTCTTTTTCTAGGTAAAACATCCCTAGTTCCCTCAACTGATTTTCATAGCATCAACTAGAGGTCCTTCAGCACCCTGGTTGCCTTCGTCCAGATTATCAATGTCATTCCTAAATTAGGGTGCCCAGAAGGGAACCATCAACCAATAAACGTTTATTAAGTGCCTACTGTGTGCCAAGCACGGTGTAAGTGCTAAAACACAAAATATTTCAGATGTCTGACTTGGGGAGAGTACACCTGCTCTGGTTCTAGACACTATGCTTATTAACATAGCCTAAAATCACACTAGCTTTTTAAACTGCCACATGTCACTCTGTTGAGAGGCAGAAACATAGTGGATAGAGATCTAGCCTCCATGCCAAGAGGACTTGTATTCAAATCTTGCCTCTGATACATACTGGCTGTGTGATCTTGGGCAAATCACAACCTCTCAGTGCTCCAGGAAATTCTTTATGCCTATCAGTTGCAGAAAAGGTGCCTTGGCAGGAAAGCTTCCCTTACCAATGAAATCACAGGTCCGATACCTATTCCCTATCAAAATGCTCACATTTAATTTTCAGTCCACTAAAACCTCCAGCTCTTTTTCTAAGAAAAAATTTTTTTGATTGATATCTCTTAGCTTTACATCAACCTAGATTTGCCCCTTTGCCCTTTCCCCTGCCCCCTTCAAGAGAACACCTTCCAGTTCTTTTTCAAGCAAATTGACATTCAGCCATGTCTTGCACCATCCAGCTCTAAATCTATGATGCCATAGTCTTTTTGGATGCTGTCATCAGATGTGTTAGCTATCCCTGCTAACTTTGTGTCA